GAAGAGTACACGAAGGTGAGGTTTGTAGCGACACGAAGACCATGTGCACCCCTACTACTACTACTACTACTACTACTACTACTACTACTACTACTACTACTACTACTACTACTACTACTACTACTACTACTACTACTACTACTACTACTACTACTACTACTACTACTACTACTACTACTACTACTACTACTACTACTACTACTACTACTACTACTACTACTACTACTACTACTACTACTACTACTACTACTACTACTACTACTACTACTACTACTACTACTACTGCCTCCTTTTTTCTGCACTCCCTCATCATCTCTCCTCGTCCTCCTTCTCCTCCTCCCCCTCCTCCTCCTCCTCCTCCTCCTCCTCCTCCTCAGCATGACCATCCTCATCGTCATCAGCAGGAGCATCGTCATCATCATCATCATCATCATCATCATCATCATCATCATCATCATCATCATCATCATCATCATCATCATCATCATCATCATCTCCCTACCTTCTTTCCTCATGTCTTCAATTTCCTTCTCCTCCTCCCTGTACTCATCCTCCTTATCGTCCTGCCTCTTCCTCTTCCTCCTCCTGCCTCCTCCTCCTTCTCCTGCCTCGTTCTCCTCTCTTCCTCCTTCTCCTCTCGCTCCTCCTCCTCCTCCTCAACCTTCGCCTCCTCAACCTCCTTTTCCTCCTCCTTCTCCTCCTCCTTTTCCTCCTCCTTCCCCTCCTCCTCCTGCTCCTCATCATCTTCATCCTCGTCCCCAACCTCATCCTCGTCCTGCCAATTCCTTTGACCTCCTCCTGCATCCCCCTTGAGTCTCCTGCCTCCTCCTCCTCCTGGGGTCTCAATGTGCCTCCCGTTGCCTCCGGGAGCCTCTGGGGGCTCCTAGAGCTTGGCCTCCTTGTCCTCCCGCCCCGGTCTCCTCCTCTGGCCCCCTGCCTCCTCCAGGGGCCTTTTGCTGCCACCTGGAGCCTCCTGGGGCCCTGGAGCCTTCTGTGGCCTCGAAGAACCTCCTGGGGCCCGATTTACTCTTCGGGCCTCCCGGGGCGTCCCGTGGCCTCCTGGAAAACTCCTGGGACCTCCTAGGGCTTCCCGGTGGCTCTGGGTCCTCCTGGGGCCTCCTGGGGCCTCCTCGGGCCTCCTGAAGCATCCTGTGGCTTCCTGAAGCCTCCTGGGGGCTCCTGAGGCCTTCGGAATTGATTCACTGAGAAGGCTACCGATCGAGACGTCCTCCAGATTCAAGCTTGGGAAGCCAAAAAGTGACGCAGTTACAAAATTTGGATGACACCGCTCGGATTCCAACATGGAGGTGGGGACCAGATAAAAAGGGCAGATGCAGGCCTGAGGAGCCCAATCACCAACATGAATTGCAGGACCCATAGGCAGGTGGGGCCCTTTTTCGATATCCTCACGATTCGCCCCCTTGGGGTGCTCAAGTGCTATGCCTGATAGGGTTTGCCGATGACCCGCTCGGATTACCAGCATGACGTGCGGGCCCTATAGGACTGTGGCTCCCGCCGGGGACTTCCTCGCGATTCCCTCACAGACGAGGCCCCCGCTTGGGACATCCTCACGATTTGCCCCCTTGGGGCGCTCAAGTGCTATGCCTGGTAGAGATTGCCGGTGACCCGCTCGGATTACCAACACGAAACGCGGGCCCTATAGGGAAGGGGCTCCCGCATGAGACTTCACTCAAGGTGAGCCTGTGTGTATGGTCATGATGAATGATGATGACGTTGATGCTGATGCTGATAACTATGATGCTGATGCTGCTACGTATGATGGTGATGCTGCTGCTGCTGCTGATGATGATGATGATGATGATAATAACGATGATGAGTGGGTGTGTGAATGCGTGTAATTGCTAGGGACTGCGTGATTGTGTGTGTGTGTGAGATGCTAATGCTGATGCTGAGGATGATGCCGCTGCTGACGATAATGATAATAGTGATGTTGATGCTGCTGATGATGACGATGATGATGATAATGATCATTAGGTTGACGAAGATTATGATGATAATGATGAGGATGGCGATGATGATGATGACGACGACGACGATGATGATGCTGATGATGATGAGGACCTCCCCCTGTCCATCTATCTCCTGTGGCTGGAGGGCAAGCCCGTGCCCATCACCACGCCCAAGAACCAGCACGTCGGGCACAAGGTGTACATGGGGTCCGCCCCGATTTTTGCCACCTGCCCCGAGACGGCGCTGGCGGGCCTCTCGTCCGAGTCGTCGCAGCGCCCGCAGAGGCAGGCTGGCATGCTGCTCCGGCGGCTGAAACTGTACTTATTCACTGTGCCGATTCCCAAACCGCCGGCCCCGAAGCTAGCGCCGTGCCCGCGCTGTTTCTCGACCCTCGTCACAAGCGAGGCTCTTAAGTTCAAGCCCAAGTAGTCCTGCCGCGTGCGATTGGGGTCGCTGCGCGCAGACATCATCACCATCATCGCCATCATCACTGTCGCCATTATCGTCGTTGCCACACCTCGTTGCCCCATCGGGAACTCCACGGAAGGCCCCGATGGCTGACTCCGCATGCCGCCCCCCGACAATTTCGGCAGACCCCTAGAGCGTTGCACGACCGGCTCGGGCACGTCGTGCTTCTGGCCCGGCACGACTCCGACCATCACCGTCGACGATGCCAGCGCTGTCGCCTCTGGGTCCGTCCGTCAGTCCGCGTGGAGCCTCTTTGGGGGTCGTCTTGGAGCCCCCGCGGATCTTCGTCAGGCCCCCCTGGAGGCCCTTTCGGGCGAGGTCTACGACAGAGGCCCCCCGCTGCATTCCATTCAATTCCATTCACTCCCAACTCCTCCGCAGGCCCCCCACTCCTTCCCAGTCCTCGCCACTCCCCTGCAGTCGTCCGCGCCCCACCGCACTCCGCCAACAAAAATTCAGAAACCTCTCATTCCTCCACGCCCCTCCGCACTCCTCCCAACTGCTCCGCGCCCTTCCGCACTCCACCCGAGACCTCCGCAACCGCCCCACTCCCCCTCACCCCTCCGCACTCCTCCCGAACCTTCCGCAACCGTCCCATTCATTCCCCCAGGCCCCTCCGCAGTCTTCCCGGAACCTCCGCAATCCTGCCATTCTTCTCACCCCATCCGCACTCTTCCCGAACATCCGCAACTCTCCCATTCCTCCACACCCCGCCGCATTCTTCCCAAAACTTCCGCAATTCTCCCATTCCCCCACATCCCTCCGCACTCCTCCCGAAACCTCCGGAGCCCTTCCAATTCGTTCCGCCCCTCCGCACTCCTCCCGAACATCCGCGATCCGTCCCATTCCCCCCCACCCTGCGCACTCCTCCCAAACCTTCCGCAACCGTCCCAGTCCTCCACACCCCTCCGAACTCTTCCCGAAACCTCCGCAATCCTGCCAGTCTCTCCACCCCTCCACACTTTCCCCGAACATCCGCAACTCGACCATCTCTCCACATCCCTCCGCACTCTCCCCAAAACCTCCGCAACCCCCCCATTCCCCCACATCCCTCCGCACTCCTCCCGAAACCTCCGCAACCCTTTTGTCATTCCACATCACTCCGCACTCCTCCCAGACATCCGCACCTCCCCCATTCCTCCAGGCCCCTCCGCACTCCTCCCGAAACCTCCACAACCGTCCCATTCCTCCACATCCCTCCGCACTCGCCCCGAAACCTCCGGAGCCCTTCCATATCTCACCACTCCCCCGCACTCCTCCTGGGACATCCGCACATATCCGCACCTCCCCCATTCCTCCACACCCCTCCGCACTCCTCCCGAAACTTCCGCAACCCTCCCATGCCTCCACATCCCCTCGCACTCCTCCCAAACCTTGTGAAACCGTCCCATTCCTCCCCACTCCTCCGCACACCTCCCGAAAGAGACCTCCGCAACCCTCCCATTCCTCCACGCCCTTCCGCACTCCTCCCGACACCTTCGCAACCCTTTCATCCTTCTACATCCCTCCGCACTCCTCCCAAACCTTCTGCAACCGCCTCATTCCTTCCCACCCCTTCCGCACTCCTCACGAAAGAGATTTCCTCCACCCTCCCATTCCTCCCCACCCATCCGCACTCTCCCCGAAACCTCCGCAACCCTCCCAGTCCTCCCCACGCCTCCGCACTCCTTCCTCACCTCCCACAACCGTCCCATTTCCCCTGAACCCTCCGCACTCCTCCCAATCCTCTGAGGTTCTCCCATTCCTCCAGACCCCTCCGCACTCCTCCTGAAACGTCTCACCCCTCGCCCCAGCGTCTTACGCCCAGGAGCGGAACCTCCATCTTCCTCCTATTCCTTCTCCTCGCTTTCCTCCCCCCCCCCCCTCCCTCCTGTTCCTCATTCCTCCTTGAGGGTTGTGGGTGATGATGAGGTTGCTTCTGATGATGATGCTGATACTGATGATGGTGATGATGATGATGATGATGATGATGATGGTGGAGATGATGGTGGAGATGATGCCGCCAATGAGGACGATTGTGATTGTAATGCTGACGTTTGTGGCATCTGTACGGTCTCCTCCTCTCCCTCCTCCCTACTCCCACCTGCAAACAAGATGGGGGACCGTGCGTGGACATTATATTCGAACCCTGTGGCCCAAGGTGCCCCCCCGGACCCCCGAATTTAATATTGATGGCGTGGCGACGGGGGGGGCGTGAGTGGACAGAAATATTCGAACCCCAAAGTACCGCCTTTGCTGAGATCAACATTGATGTCGGGGGCGCGGGGGTGACTTAGAATTTCCCTCGAATGTGTGAGGGTTCGAATATATTGTCCATCTACTGTATGACATACTACGCTCAGCCGTGCTCTTCTACGCCCTGCTACGCCGTGCTCTACGATGCATCGCGTACCGTCTCGGGATCATTGCCCTGCTCGACATCCCTCTGTGCGAATAGAGAGGAGATCTAGGCCATGGTAAGGGATGGGAGGGAGGGTAGGACGTCAAATATGACGCGAGCGCACCTCGCTTGCCACCCACCCATCCCCTCGCTGCTTTCAATCCCCTCCCGTCCGAGTGAGTCGAATTCCCTCCCAACTTTTTCCCGTCTGCCCTCCTCCGATTGATCTTGTTCCTTCTCCACCTGTTCCGCTGGCTGTCTTCTGACGGCCAGCTGGCATACGAGTTTTTGAGCATCTGACCCTCAAGAACGTGGGGTTCTCGGGCCAGCCCTGTAACCCAGACCGTTGTCGCTCATGTTGTGCGACGGGGCGCGTCGAGTTCCACAAGACATAATCCATCGTTCATGTGCATCACAATCAGTACGCCTTACACGTGGTTGTTCCCTCGCCTTGTTGACGGATGGTGGATGTGAACTGCACTACGTTCAGCCATGTCGTAGTTGGGTTGGGCCCGCCGTTTGATTTCTTGCTCCAGAGGCGGCATTGTATCTCACCTTCCTTGGAGTGGCGGGGATCCGTAACTCGATTTGTCCCGCGCCGCCCATAGTGTACTCATCCGCTCGGTTAACTCACGACAGCTACTGGTGGGTCGCAAGCAAGTGGAAGAGCGGTCCACTGTGGAACGACTCTTGTGCATCGGCGTCAATATGCAGAGAAACCGTGGCGACGGTGATGTGTCAGAGTGGTGCGAGAAGTTCACCAAGTTCAGGCCGATCAGTGGTGAACTGCCATGGCGGAGGCACTAAGCGTGTCGGCGACTAAACCGCAATTCTATTTGCTCGTGGATCGGGCATTGGTGGCCAGCCAAACAACTTCTACGGTTGAGTACCCAGGTAGATTGTGGACAACGTGCACGCTTTCTTCGAAGTAAGCACGCTCTTGGGGTGTAAGAAACTCAGACAAGGTGGATGCATGATCCAGCGCCACGGAAGAGCAAACACGTTAAGCGAGCGGTAAGTTTTAGCAAAAGGTGTTTTGATAGTGGTGGCGTCGCAGTAATCATATCATTCAGCGTGCTAGAGTGCACCACCGTGCTGGCGTAAGGAAGACACGCGACCGAATGAGAGAACGACAACGACCACAAACCAACATATACGGGAGTATGTATTTGAGCGCTTACTGTATAAAGTTATATACGTGTAACCTATTGCCGCTTATTGGAGCCACCTGGAACGCATGTGAGTTGTTCCATTGGGACCTTTGGTGGAGCTCCCCATGGGACCACGAAACGTGTAAGGGGTTTGCCGAAATCGGTAGGGAACCGCATGCGACCCCCCGAGAGGAAGCAACCGCTTGTCTTCAAAACGAGGACCCCACACCACAGGATAGTTGGGGAAAAGGGTTTTAGGAAATACCTCAGAGGCTCTTCACACAGGCGGACCAGCCGCAAAAGTTGCAAGCACGATCAACACATGGCCTTTGTTGGAAGAGGATGGTGCGCGACTTGCGCATGTGCGGAGAGGCTTGCCGAGACGTGCAGAAGGTCCAGAGTACACGGGCGCCCGCCACTGGTGACGCCATGGACGGCATCGCAGACGACGACAGTTCACATCGACTTGATTGAAGGGAGCGCTACAACCCTCGGGCAGTGTTGGAGGACCTGCCAGTGCGAGCAGGTGGTTTCGAAAGCACCAAGGAGGGCGGCGAGGCACAGCGCCGAGTTATTGTCCCGTACGGTTCGATCGCATGGCCAGGCCGGAAGCAAGCGCACAGACCATGCCGGGGCTCATCTCGACTCATCCCAGTCGATTCGACACGATTTCGGCGGTTTCCGATTCCGATTCGATTCGATTCCAGATTCCGATTTAATTTCAGATTTTCCAATGAAGGCCTACTAGCCTGCCGATTTCCGTCGATTCGACTTTTGTCGACTCGGCTGCCGATTTCCGCCGATCCGACTCAGTTCGATCGCCGATACGACTTGTGGGTTCGATTATTTGCTCTCCTGCCATGCCTCCACCCAGAACTCTGTGGGGCCCTGGTTTTTCCAGCAGCCAGGCAGAGTATTGACGAAGGACGCCGCATTCCAGAACCGTTGGTTTCCCAATGAGTGCTTGTACTGAAGTGGTCCTGGCGGATTTTGAAGGATTTGGCGAAAGTTGGCGGCCGATTTCGGTAGGCGGCCGGGTTCCCAGGTTCCCGGTTCCGGGTTCCCCGGTTCCCGGTTCTTGGTTCCAGGCCGATTTCGGTGGGCGGCGGGGTTCACGGGTTTCCCGGTTCCCAGGTTCTTGGTCGATCTCCTTATCGACCGGTCTCACCATCGATATCATTACCCATTTCTCCATCGATCTCATTGTCGATCTCACAATCGATCTCACAATCCATCTCATTATGGATCGCACGAGCGATCTCAGAATCGATCTCACGATCGATCTCATTGAATCGACTTCACGATCGGTTATTATTGTCCTCACTATCGATCCCACTATCGATCTCGCTATCGATTTCACAATCGATCGAAATATCCAGATTATTAATTTTCAAGCTGTCCACTGAGATTGGGTTTTTTCTCTGGTATAATACGTCATCCACCCCTCGGCTGGCATGCAGCACTTCGCATGGCATAGGGACCCCCCGAGCAACCTCCTGGAGCAAGTGACCCACGCACCTTTAGATGCCCCAGATTTTAGGCTAGATGGACCGTCTGCCTGAGCAGCAGGAAGAGCCCAAACGAAGCGGGACAAGGGGCCCTGAGCTCGCCGGGCCACCAGAAACACCTTGGCCCTCGGGGGGGAGGGGAACCCAATCATGAGCACAGGAGCGGGCCCAGACTAGAGGTGGGTGTCTAACCCCCGCTCCACACTTCCAACCATCAATCCCATCCAGGCCGAAACTGTCCGTCCCATCCAGGCGGAGCTCATCCCACTTCTTCTGGTGAGTTCACCCTCCCACACCACCCATCTGATTCCCCAACCCAGCGGATGAATGTCCAGGACGACCGTCAGCATGCAAGGCGACATCGGGGCGCAAATGTTTTCTTCTAGTATGGCGCCAGCATCACTTTTGTTGTTGCGAGTTGCGGGGTAAAGGACATGCGCATCCGCACTGTGTTCAGCGCTCGCAGTGCGTTGGCAAGTGAGAGTGCTTGGTCAGCGCAGACTTGAGCACTCTCATGGGCAATCGCAAGTATGAGGTATGCTGCAAGCTTGCGAGGAACCCGTCGCGCCTGCTGGCCTGAGCCGGTCATCGGCAGAATCATCGCCATCACCAGCATCAAAATCCGTATCGTCACCATCAGCAGCTTCACTATTCGTGTCAATTCGGGTTCGAGTCGTGGGGCGCACACTCGTGCTGGCCCACACGGCATGCCGAAGCTTGCCAGGCCAGACGGACGTGCTGCTTACTAGCTTACTAGCATGTTGGCGCAATGGCACGGGAACGCGTCGGAGGACCCGCATTCCAGCTGGAACAGGCTGACGTTGCGGTTCCGGGACAAAGGCCTGGAAGATGGTTTCGCCAAGGGGCGTTTGCCTAGGCTCCGCGGCAGCCTCTTTGCTTGCAGCTTGGTAACCTCGGGGGTTTTCTTCATATTGTTAGTGATGCAGAAGCCATGGGACACCGACCAATACAGGAACTGACGGGGAGTATGAAACCTCAATCCACGACTTTGTGAGTTTTTCGAATGGATCAATCATTTGATGCCCAATTCGGGGATGTACGACCTCTATCTGTGCTGCGTGTGTGTGTGTGTGTGTGTGTTTGTGAGTGTGTGTGTGTGTGTGTTTGTGTGTGTTTGTGTCTGTTTGTGTCTGTTTGTGTCTGTGTCTGTGTCTGTGTTTGTGTTTGTGTTTGTGTTTGTGTTTGTGTTTGTGTGTGTGTGTGTCACACACGCGCCCCGCCGTCCCGCGGGGCGCCTTGCCCAGCATGCCCCTCCCCCCGCACTTGGTCCTCATCTGAGCTAAGGATTGCAAAAAAACCCTGGATTGCAATCCTTCGTTGCACGAAGGATTGCAAAAAAACCCTTCGTTCGAAGGATTGCAAAAAAACCTTCGTTGCAATCCTTCGTTGCAATCCTTCGTTGCAATCCTTCGCCCACCCCCCCGCGCTTGGTCCTCATCTGAGCTGCCGCTTCGCCCTGCGCCCGCCCCCCCTTCCGCTCGCCTGTTGACCGCGACGCGGGCCGGGCGCCTCGGGCTCCGCCGCGTGTGCCTCTGCGCGCCCGCCCCGCCGCCCGTGTGTCTAAGTGTGTGTCTAAGTGTGTGTCTGTGTGTGCCTGTGTCTGTGTCTGTGTCTGTCTGTGTGTGTCAATGTGTGTGTGTGTGTCTATGTGTGTGTGTGTCCGTGTGTGTCTGTGTGTGTCTGTGTGTGTGTGTGTGTGTCCGTGTGTGTCTGTGTGTGTCTGTGTTTGTTTGTGTGTGTATGTTTGTGTTTGTCTGTGTGTGTACCTGTGTGTCTGTGTGTGCTTGTCAGTGTGTCGATGTGTCTGTGTGTGTCTATGTGTTTGTGTGTTTGCCTGTGTGTCTGTGTGTGTCTGTGTGTGTGTTCGTGCGTGCCCGTGTCTGTCTGTGTGCTTGTGTGTGTGTCTGTGTGTGTGTGTCGTGTGTGTGTCTGTGTGTGTCTGTGTGTGTGTCTGTATGTGTGTCTGTGTGTGTGTCTGTGTGTGTGTCTGTGTGTGTCTGTGTCTGTATGTGTCTGTGAGTGTGTCTGTGTGTGTGTCTGTGTGTGTCTGTATGTGTGTTCGTTCGTTCCCGTGTCTGTCTGTGTGTTTGTGTGTGTGTGTGTCTGTGTGTGCGTCTGTGTGTGTGTGTGTCTGAGCGTGTGTGTCTGTGTGTATGTGTGTGTGGGTCTGTGTGTGTCTATGTGATTGTGTGTGTTTGTGTTTGTGTCTGTGTGTGTGTCTGTGTGTATGTGTGTCTGTGTGTGTTCGTGTGTGTCTGTGTGTGTCTGTTGTGCGTGTGCTTGTGTGTCTCTGTGTGTGTCCGTGTGTGTGTGTGTGTCTGTGTGGGTGGTTGTGTTTGTTTGTGTGTGTGTCTGGATGTGTGTTTCTATGTAAGTGTGTGCCTGTGTGTGCCTGTTTGTGTGTGTGTCTGTGTGTGCCTGTGTGTGTCTGTGTCTGTGTGTCTGTGTGTGTCGATGTATGTGTGTGTGACTATATGTGTTAGTGTGTGTCTCTGAGTGTGTCTGTGTGTGTCTGTGTCTGTTTGCGTGTGTGCCTGTGCGTGTCTGTGTGTGTCTGTGTGTGTGTTTGTGTGTGTGTGCGTCTGAGGGAGTCTGTGTGTGTCTGTGCGGGTCTGTGTGTATGTGTGTATTCGTGTGTGCCCGTATGTGCCCGTGTGTGTCTGTGTGTACATGTGTGTGTCTGTCTGTGTGTGTCAGTGTATGTGTGTGTATGTGTCAGTGTATGTCTCTGTTTGTTTGTGTGTGTCTGTGTGTGCCTGTCTGTGTCTGAGTGTGCCTGTGTGTGTCTGTGTGTGAGCCCGTGTATGTGTGTGTGCCTGTGTGTGTTCGTGTGTGTCTGTGTGTGTCTGTTGTGTGTGTGTGTCTGTATGTGTGTCTGCGTGTATATGTGAGTGTGTCTGTGTGCGTGTCTTTGTGTGTCTAAGTGTCTGTGTGTGTCTGTGTGTGTGTGTCTGCGTGTGTGTCTCTTTTTGTCTGTGTGTGTCTGTGTGTGTGTTCGTGAGTGCCCGTGTCTGTCTGTGTGTGTGTCTGTGTGTGCCTGTGTGTGTGTCTGTGTGTGTCTGTGTTTGTGTTTGTGTGTCTGTGTGTCTGTGTGTGTGTCTGTGTGTTTCTGTTGTTTGTGTGTGTGTCTGTGTGTGTGTCTGTGTGTGTTCGTGTGTGTGTGTGTGTGTCTGTGTGTGTGTTCGTGTGTGCTCGTGTCTGTTTGTGCGCCTGTGTGTGTGTTTGTGTGTGTGTCTGTGTGTGTGTCTACGTGTCTGTCTGTGTGTGTCTGTGTATGTGCGTGTGTGTCTGTGTGTGCCCGTGTGTGTTTGTGTGTCTGTGTGTGTGTCTGTGTGTGTCTGTGTTTGTGACTGTGTGTGTCTGTGTGTGTGTCTGTGTGTGTCTGCGTGTGTCTGTGTGTGTCTGTGTCTGTCTGTGTCTGTGTGTGACTGCGTGTGTCTGTGTGTGTGTGTCTGTGTGTGTCTGCAGGTGTCTGTGTGTGTATGTTTGTGTTCGTGTGTGCCCGTGTCTGTCTGTGTGTGTCTGTGTGTGTCTGTGTGTGCGTCCGTGTATGTGTGTGTCTGTGTGCGTGTCTGTGTGTGTGTGTCTGTGTGTGTTCGTGTGTGCCTGTGTGCTTATGTTGTGTGTGTGTCTGTGTTGGTGTCTGTGTGTCTGTGTGTGTCTGTGTGTGTCTTTGTCTGTCGATGTATCTGTGTGTTTGTCTGTGTGTGTCTGTGTGTTTGTGTCTGTGTGTGTGTGTCTGTGTCTGTCTATGTGTGTCTGTGTGTGTCAATGAATGTCTGTGTGTTTGTCTGTGTGTGCGTCCGTGTATGTGTCTGTGTGTTTCTGTGTGTGTCTGTGTGTGTTTGTGTGTGCCTGCTGGTGTCTGTTGTGTGTGTGCGCCTTTGTGTGCGTCTGTGTGTATATGTGTGTGTGTCGGCGTGTGTCTTTGTGTGTCTGTGTGTCTGTGTGTGTCTGTGCGTGTCTGTGTGTTTGTGTCTGTGTGTGTCTGTGAGTGGGTCTGTGTATGTGTGTTTGTCTGTGTGTGTCTCTGTGTGTGTCTGTGTTTTTGTGTCTGTGTGTTTCTGCGTGTGTCTGTGAGCATGTCTGTGTATGTGTGTGTCTCTGTGTGTCTGTGTGTGTGTGTGTGTCTGTGTGTGCCTGTGTGTGTCCGTGTGTGTCCGTGTATGTGTGTGTGTGCCTGTGTGTGTTCGTGTTTGTCTGTGTGGGTCTGTTGTGTGCGTGTGTGTGTGTCTGTGTGTGTGTCTGTGTGTATCTGTGAGTGTGTCCGTGTGCGTGTCTTTGTGTGTCGATGTGTTTGTGTGTGTCTGTGTGTGTGTCTGCGTGTGTTTCTGTGTGTGTCTGTGTGTGTCTCTGTTTGTCTGTGTGTGTCTGTGTGTGTTTTCGTGTGTGCCCGTGTCCGCCTGTGTGTCTGTGTGTGTGTGTCTGTGTGTGTCTGTGTGTGCTTGTGTATGTCCGTGCGTGTCTGTGTTTTTTTTGTGTATGTTGTGTGTGTGTGTGTGTGTCTGTGTGTGTGTCTGTTGTGTGAGAGTCTGTGTGTGTTCGTGCGTGTCCGTGTCTGTCTGGGTGTGTCTGTGTGCGTTTGTGTGTGTCTGTGTGTGTGTGTGTCTGTGTGTGTCTGTGTATCTGTGTATGTGTGTGTGTCTATGTGTGTGTCTGTGTGTGTGTCTGTGTGTGTTCGTGTGTGTCTGTGTGTGTCTGTGTTGTGTGTGTGTGTCTGTGTGTGTGTGTCTGTGTGTGTGGCTGTGTGTGTCTGTGTGTGTCTGTGTCACTGTCTGTGTGTCTGTGTGAGTGTCTGTGTGTGTGTCTATGTATGTCTGTGTGTTTTTGTGTGTGTGTCCGTGTATGTGTGTGCCTGTGTGTGCTCGTGTGTGTTTGTGTGTGTTTGTGTGTGTTTGTTGTGTGTCTGTGTGTGTCTGTGTGTGTCTGTGTATATGTGAGTGTGTCTGTGTGTGTTTCTGTGAGTGTCTGTGTGTGTGTCTGCGTGTGTCTGTGTGTGTCTGGTTGTTGTTCGTGCGTGCCCGTGTGTGTCTGTGTGTGTCTGTGTGTGTCTGTGTGTGTCTGTGTGTGTCCGTGTATGTGTGTGTGTGTCTCTGTGTGTGTTCGTTCGTTGCCCGCCCATAGCGGGGACACCGTATCCTCGCACCGTCTCATACCAGGCCGCACGCCAAGGCAAGCAATGCCGGCTGCAGTGGATGAGGGGGAGGTGACGTCTGGTTGTTGTTCGTGCGTGCCC